TGGTGGTGCACACATGTACTTCTAGTACTCAGGAGGTTGATAGGAGAATTCCAGAGTTCCAGAACAAAATGAAAAACTAGGGCTGAGGAGGTAGGTGCCTCAGTGTCTAAAGTTCTTGTTGTGGAAGTGTAAGAGCTAGAGTTTTGGTAGTAGTGCACATCTGTAATCCTAGTTAGCCACAGTGAGATAGGAGTCGGCAACAGGAGACTCCCGGGAAGCTCATGGACCTGGTGTGCTCAGTGGTGAACAAGAGACCCTGAGGTAGAAGGTAAGGACCAACATCCAGTGTTGTCTTTTGACTGGTATATGGATGCTTGATGTACACATACACACACACACACACACACACACACACACACACACACACACACGCACACACTCAAAAAATTACTCCCCCAAACATTGTGGAGGTTATTGGTAGTTTCAGTAAAAGCAGTCTATAAAGAGTGAAAATTAAAGATGTTAAAAATAAAAGTTATTTGTTTACTTTTTATTAGAGATTGAATCCAGGCCCTCATGCATGCTAACCAGGTGCAGTACTATTGAGCTACAGATCCCTTGTCCTCATTTGTTTTATTATCAAATTATCAAATTCAGACTTAAATTTGTAACCATGCTGCTTTTATCAGTTAAAAAGGCTTCCTTTTGATTTTTTTTATCAAACTTGTCAAGAATATTGATCTATAGATCACACTTTGGCATCTAGAACATTGGAACAGTTTCAGATTTCCAAAATCCATCTGTAATTCTAGAGTTGTATGATGTAAGGAACTTCCTACTCCGTGAATTGTTATAAACTTTTCTATAACATTGTATAACAATACTGTTTACAAGATAGGCACCCCTAAGATGATTTAAGTAGCTTATAAGTTATTATGAATAGCACAAACTTTAAAGATTCCTCCCTGAAAGTTAGGCATCCCAGAAACAACCTCTGATAGATAGCTCCCTTAAGCTGCAATTTTAGAAATAAAGCTTTGATCAATCCTGCAGCCATTTATCAAATAATCACTCAGAGGCTTATATTCATTACAAACTGTATGGCCTATGGCTTCAGCTTCTTGCTAGCCAGGTCTTTCATCGTCAATTAACCCATTCCTATTAATCTGTATGTTGCTACGTGGCTGTGGTGTTAACCAGTCTGCTGGCATCTTGTTGCTCCTTTGGCAGCTGCTGGCGTCTTTCCCAACTCCACCCTTCTTCATCTCGTCTTCAGTTTGAAGGTACCGTGTCACCTTATCCTGCCCTGCCATAGGCCAGTGCAGCTTTATTTTTTTTTTTTTAAAGATTTATTTATTATGTATGCAGTGTTCTGCCTGCATGTAGACCTGCAGGCCAGAAGAGGGCACCAGATCTCATTACAGATGGTTGTGAGCCACCATGTGGTTGCTGGGAATTGAACTCAGGACCTCTGGAAGAGCAGTCAGTGCTCTTAACCTCTGAGCCACCTCTCCAGCCCCAGTGCAGCTTTATTTGTTATCCGACGGGAGCCACACATATTCACATTAGACAGAAAGGCATCCCCCAGCAGCAGGTTGATTTGCCCTTGCTACAGCCTCCTTTCCTTTCCTTTGAAATTACAGGGCACCTTTCCTGTAAGGGAGCTGGGAGTGGTGGCATACCCCCTTAATCCAGGCGCTGGGTGGCAAAGTTGGAGGCAAGCCTGGTGTGCATGGAGAGTCATAAGTCAGTCAGAGCTACATAGTAAGACCCTGTTTAAAAAAGTCAAAAATCCTCAAACCCTCCAGAACCAAAACTACAGCAAAAAAGTTGAGATCAAGAGTCCACCTGTCACAGTCCACTTTCTTGATCACAGTCATTTGTATCCCTCTAATATGTAGCATATGAACCAGGATCTTGTGATGACATCGAACATACATCATCAAGTGACTTCCCTTGATAATGGAGACTGAACTCAGAAGACGCCGTCAATATATGTCCCCCACAAAGCTGACATAGAGTGTTAAAACTAAAATGGGAGTACCACAATAAAGATTTCAGGAAAGGGAAGAATGGCAGGTGCATAAATAGTAGTTCATGACAACCCTGAAAAATATGTAGTCCCAGAGAATTAAATTGCTGTGGTTTGCCCCAGAGGTCACTCTTCCATTTCTTCTGGCTCTGTGTACTTGGAAATTCTTAGTTTTGTATAATTGCCCCCCCCCCCCCCTTAATCTGAAGAGGGTGTAAGAGTCTGTGCTCTTGGTTGTGACAAGGCAGCTCACTCAGCTTTCTGGATTTGAAAGTCACTCAAAGAGATGAATGCTCTGCTAGGTCTGTTTCTTGTTCTCCTTTGTCTAGTTGTGTTGTCTAATGCCTCCAGTGTATACTCTGTTGGAATCAAGGCAGCTGCTTGTTCCTTATTTTAGTAGTAAAGACTGGGTTTTCTGCGCTGCCGCAGACTCTGGAGAAAGACGTGTGTGTGTGTGTGTGTGTGTGTGTGTGTGTGTGTGTGTGTGTGTGTGTGTGTGGGTTTGTGTGTGGCTGCCTTGACTCAGGTCAGCATCATCTGTGATGACAGTCTTTATTTCTCTGGTCCCTGGTGCTGTTCGCATATGGCATGTTTGTCACTGTTAGAGCATGTGCGATGGTTGAGACTAAGTAGTTTTGTATGAGTCCATTGAGATTCAGGTATCAGACGACTCTCAAATTTCAGAAAAATGGTAATTGGGTCATAGATTTTACTTGTTTGTTGTTGGTATGAGTAGTTACCATCTTTTTTTGTTTGTTTTCCAAGACAGGATTTCTCTGTGGCCCTGACTGTCCTGTAACTTGCTCTGTAGAACAGGCTGTCCTTGAACTCAGATCCACCTGCCTTTGCTTCCTGAGTGCTAGGATTAAAGGCATGCGCCACCACCGCCTAGTGCCATCTTACCTTTTTATTTTATTGGTATGTTTAAATTTTTTTTTTTTTTTTTTTTTTGAGATGAGGACTCGCTCTGTAGCTCTGGCTTGCCTGGAACTCAGTATTAGACCGAACTGGCCTCAGACTTAACAGTCTTCTAGTCCTTGCCCCCTGATGCCGGGATTTAATCTGGGCGGTATTGAATTGGCCCTCGCACTCTTGGAATGCTCACCACATTTGTGTGTTATGCTAGTAAATGTACAAATAGGGAGATAAGATCATACAGCTGGGCGGTGGCTGAGTTAACTGCGTTAAAAATCTTTATCCACAAAAGCGAATATCCTAGTACCTTGTCTCCCATCCCCGGAAACCTGCAGCTGTGGTGGAGACAGTCCGCAGTACCGTCTTTGCTCTTGGTGGATCAGAACTAAGGAGTCCTTAGGCATTTGGTGACCATAAAACCTCAGCAGGGCTTCCCTGGCTCTGCTCCTCCCACTAGCTTCCATTGGCTTCTCCTTTACTTTTACAGTTAAGACTGGAAAATTAAAAAAAAAAAAAAAAAAGCTGTGTGGTGGTGGCGCACGCCTTTAATCCCAGCACTCGGGAGGCAGAGGCAGGTGGATCTCTGTGAGTTCGAGGCCAGCCTGGTCTACAGAGTGAGATCCAGGACAGGCTCCAAAGCTACACAGAGAAACCCTGTCTCAAAAAACCAAAAAACAAAACAACAAACAAACACCCCAAGATCATCCTGTGGTGTTTCAGTATACTGAACTTAATCATGAGAGTGACTAAGATCTAGTCCTCTGCTCTGTTAGAAAACCTGTAAGGAGAACTCCAGGTGATTGTATTTTTATTGTTCTATACTGAGGAGAAATGATACAGTCACTGCTGTTTCTGATACAGGGCTCTTTCTTTTTATGATCATTTGATAGTAAAGTGTAGTTCATCTATAAATTCTTCCAGGCTGGATGAGATTGTTTTGTTTGTTAACTTTTTTATAGCCTTGACTTGACAGATCCTGACTGAACCATCCTTGCCTTTTTAACCTACTGAATCTCCAGCCCTGCTTGCATGCGTGGTTCACAACCATCGTGTGTAGTAGGATGGGCATCTGTTGGGTTCATGTATCCTTGGAGCGCCAACAGTTTCTAGCTTATGACTTTGGACAAGTTGTATATCTATCCTTTTGTAATCTCTAAAATTAGGAAAACTAAACCCTTTCTGGATAGTTGTAAGGTATAAATAAGACAATAGGTTAAAATGCCTGCTGGTCCAGGTAAATAGAGGATACTTTAAAAATTATGCTTTGCTTCTTAAATGAAACAGTACCTTTCCTTCTTTGTAACTGTTCAGTTTTCTAGGAGAATTCTTTGCTTGCCAAACACTTGGTAGCACTGACCTTTAGAGTCTGAACGAGGGCTTAGAATATAGATCAGTATTAGAGTGTTGGCGTAGAATTTGAACTAGATACTAGAGAATTGCTAAATAAAATATGAAGAGAAATGCATTAATTTTTTATAGTGTGTGTGAGACTGTCTTGTTCTGACTTTTACCAAGAAGTAATCCTCTGCTTTTTATAAAGAAACTAATAAGGAGAACCCCAGGTACTTGTATTTTTGTAGTTCTAGCCCTAATGGATAAGTGAATGAATATATAGACGAATGACAATCTAATTTGAAACATAAAAAGCAAGTAATAAGTCTTAGAAAATTTCTCATAGATGCTATTCTTTGTCTAAAATATTTCTACCTTGTGATTTCTCTTGTGACATTATAGATGTAATATATAAGCTTATTTTTGAACCAGTGTAGTAAGAGAAAAAGAAATTCTGAAAGGTCAGCAATTGCTGTATGTTCTGGAAACATTCTTTGAGATTCTGGATTATAGTGTAATACTTTTATTTTAGGGAAACATACTTTCCTAGTGATTCCTTTGTCTCAGATGTTTAATGATTAAGTATCTATACTCCTAAGTTACCTGTTGAAATTTGATTGCTGTAAAGAAGTGTTAAGAGACAGAAGGGGTAAAGTGCTGAGATCACAGCTGTGGTCCTGTGAATGCTGTTCGTTAGTTAGTAACTGACTTTAGGGAGTTACTTAGGTGTCAAAGCATTGCTTTTCTGACAAATAATATTGTGATCATCTTCTCATTTCAGAAAGATCCAGATTACCTGAGACTATGGTTGGACAATTTTGTTTTAAGTTATGAACAGTTTTTAGATGTTGACTTTGAAAAGCTGCCTACCAGGTACATAGAAACACTCATTTATTACCATTGGGTGAGACTGTTAAGTTTTGGCAAAAGGGTTTCATGACATAAGACCAGTGGCTATGCTAACAGTCTTGGTGCTGCTGCATGCCCCTGTTCTCCTGACGGATGTTGCTCAGTGATCCCAGCAGCCTTGCTGGCTCTCAGAAACCCCTTTGCTGTGGTGAGTGACTACCTCTCAGTGGTCTGACTCCAGCTCCTCCGTTCAGCACCAGATCTCCCAGGTAGAAGATAGCGTCCTCCACAAGACAGCTCTCACTTCAGGCTCAAGTTGCAAATCTTGACAGTCAGCCACACTTGACATTTTTTATCACATTTAATTGATTAACTAATTTCTGTCTTAAGTTTCAACACTATTTCCTTGCCCATATCTGACAGGGTCGATGATGTGCCTCCGGGAATATCCCTGCTTCCTGATAATATCCTGCAGGTTCTGAGGACGCAGCTGCTGCACTGTGTTCAGAAAACAGCAGATGGGTTAGAGGAACAACAACAAGCCTTGTCAATTCTGCTCGTCAAATTCTTCATCATTCTTTGCAGGTATCTGGTATAAAAAAGTAAAAATTTTAGCATAATTATTACCAACTTACCAAAAAACCTATAATAATACTTGTTAGTGATATTTGTTTGTATGAATCTTTAATGACTGTGGGTCTCTTTTGTAGTATGATTTGTTAGCACACTGGAAAACTTCTTACGTAATTACTGTACTTAATTATAGAGACACTCAGCCAAGAGTTTTCAGTGTGTGCTGTCAGGATGGCTCAGTGGGTAAAGGCACCTCCTGCCAAGCCTTGACTGCCTGAATTCAGTCTTCTGGACCGACGTGGTGGAAGGAAAGAAAAGGATCGCCTACACCTCGGTCCTTTGACCACCCGCACTGTGGCACACAAGGGCTGGTGCAATGTACATGCAAACACAAAAAAAAATTTGAGAAGTGCAATAAAATGGTTGTTTAAAAAATAAATTTAAGTGTAACTTTAAAGACAGTGGCAAAAGTTTTTATTTTAGAAAGAGATAATTTAATTAATATTTTCTGTATGGTTCTCATCTGTAAATGTATACATTTGTGTGTGTGCAAGCCAGAAGATGTGTGCTTGATATTAACCTTTGTTTAAGATAGGGTCTCACTATGGAGTCTGCCTGGCCTGAAATTCACTTGGTAGACTAAGCTAGCCTTAAACTTAACAGAAATCTACCTGCTGCTGCCTTCAGAGTGTGGGACTAGGGGCTGGAGAGATGGCCCAGCGGTTAAGAGCACTGACTGCTCTTCCAGAGGACCTGGGTTCAATTCCCAGCACCCACATTGCCGCTCACAACTATCTGTAACTCCAGTTCCAGGGGATTTGACAACCTTCACACCAACGCATCTAAAATAAAGTTTAAAAAAAAAACTAAAAAAAAAAAAAAAACAAGAGTATGGGATTAAAGGATACACCACCTCGCCTCACTTCCACCTTTATGATTTTGAGAGTTCCTTAGAGGCCTTGCTGAGTAGATGGCACTGTCTGACACACAGGAAAGCGTGGGTGTGAGCTTCTTGGGGAAGAGTTGCAGAAATTGAGACAAAACTAAGACAGTATTACTGAACATTATTTCACACAAAGGTACCACAGCTTGTTTACTTATTTACCTATATTGAAGGACATCTTAGTTGCTTCCAGTTTGGAACTGTTATTTATAAAACTTATGTAAGTTTTATATGGGTACCTTTCAACCCATGTAGACAGATACCTAGGAACAGTAATGCTGTATCACATGGTTGTAACATTCTCACAGTCAGTGAGCGAGGATTCCTGTTATTTCCCCATTTTTCCAGTTTTTATTTTGTGTGCATTGGTGTTTTGCCTGCCTGCATGTCTGTGTGAGGGTGCCATATCTCTTGGAACTGGAGTTACAGACAGTCGTGAGCTGCCATGTGAGTGCTGGGAATTGAACCTGGGTGCTCTGGAAGAGCAGCCAGTGCTTTTAACCGCTGAGCCATTTTTCCAGTCCCAGTTTTCATGTTGATGATGCCATCATTTAGATTTTAGCTATTGCAATAGGAGTATAGTATTTTATTGTTGTTCCTTAATGATATAAAATACTTAACATCTTTTTTTTTTGAGACTGTTCATAACATTTTTGATGAAGTACTTACGTAAGTCCAATTTTAAAATTGGATTGTCTTCTTATTTTTACAGGTCTGTGAATATTTTGATATACTGTTTTTTTTCCCCAGCTGGTTGGTGCATGTTTTTTTTCATTGTCTGCAAGTTGTTTTTTTTTTTTTTTAGGTTTTTTGAGACAGGGTTTCTCTGTGTAGCTTTGCGCCTTTCCTGGATCTCGCTCTGTAGACCAGGCTGGCCTCGAACTTATAGAGATCCGCCTGCCTCTGCCTCCTGAGTGCTGGGATTAAAGGCGTGCGCCACCACCGCCCGGCACAAGTTGTTTTTTTATTCCCTTAATACTGAGGCACAGAAGTTTTTATTTTAATGAGTCTCTTTTTTTTTTTTTATCTCCTGCAATGGATTATGCTATTTTCATCTACAAAGTCATCAGTCAATCTAAGAGCCCTTAGATTTTCCTCCTGTGTCTCTAACAGTGTTGCTGTATTTTGGGGCTGGAGAGATGGCTGCTCTTCAAGAGGATCCAGGTTAGATTCCCAGCACCCGCAGCTCCACTCCAGTTGCAGGGGTTGTGATGCCTTCTGGCCTCTGAGAGACTAGACATTCATGTGGTACCCAGACGCACATGCAAGCAAAACACCCATACACGTAAAAGGAAGACAAAACACAATAGTACTGTAACTCATTTCACTTTGTCTCTGAGCTATAATTACTCTATATGTTTAGTGTTATATTGAATCAACTATTGTGTTAGATCTGTTAAGAATAAGAAAAAAGAGTTGTTACACAGAGGAACCCTGTCTCAAACAAACCAAAATTTCAGTTCATTTGGGTTTTTTTCTAATTGTGAACCTGACAGTGATGACTCTTAGACTTTGAATTTTGGGTCAGAAACTGAAAGTCCTTTATTTAGATCCATTTTTGTTTTGTTTTGTTTTGTTTGGGGGAGTGGGAGGCAGGCGGAGGGGAAGGAAGAAAAGGATGAAAAGAGAAGTTCTCAGTGAGGAGAGTGCATGAGAATGGGATTGGACAGAAGTTCTCAGTGAGGAGAGTGCATGAGAATGGGATTGGACAGAAGTTCTCAGTGAGGAGAGTGCATGAGAATGGGATTGGACAGAAGTTCTCAGAGTGAGGAGAGTGCATGAGAATGGGATTGGACAGAAGTTCTCAGAGTGAGGAGAGTGCATGAGAATGGGATTGGACAGAAGTTCTCAGAGTGAGGAGAGTGCATGAGAATGGGATTGGACAGAAGTTCTCAGTGAGGAGAGTGCATGAGAATGGGATTGGACAGAAGTTCTCAGAGTGAGGAGAGTGCATGAGAATGGGATTGGACAGAAGCACAGGAGGTGCCCAGACTGGTCGTTTCCATGTTTGCTGGTGTTATCAATGGATGAGTTCATTCCATTAATATGTGAGTGTTTTGAAGCTTTATGTAAGCTGTCCCCTACAGCTTGGTGTATGCCTCAGAGGCATAGTTTTAAAGGCTACTGGGGTTACAGAGGGGATATCCCTACTAAACATACAGAAGTGATCTTGCTATTTGTAGGACTGTAATGGTAACAAATAACAGCACAATAAAAATTTATCTATAGGTCCTTTTCCCTTGGATCTTTCTCTTTTCCCAGTACTAATTCAGATACAATTTTTAAATGTAATCTTAAGCCGGGCGGTGGTGGTGCACGCCTTTAATCCCAGCACTTGGGAGGCAGAGACAGGCGGATCCCAGAGTTCAAGTCCAGTTTGGTCAGCTGTTCCAAGAGAGCCAAGGCTTTTACACAGAGAAACGCTGTCCTGAAAAACCAAAAAAAAAAAAAAAAGAAAATTGTAAATTTTATTATGTTACTGCCGAGAGATAATTCACATGTCATGTAATTCACTGACTAGCAATGTCACTTATTTATTTATTTATTTTTTGTTTTTCGAGACAGGGTTTCTCTGTGTAGCTTTGCGCCTTTCCTGGAACTCACTTGGTAGCCCAGGCTGGCCTCGAACTCACAGAGATCCGCCTGGCTCTACCTCCTGAGTGCTGGGATTAAAGGCGTGCGCCGCCACCACCCGGCTAATGTCATTTATTTTTATTTATTTTTATTTTTATTTTTTTCGGGTTTTTCGAGACAGGGTTTCTCTGTGTAGCTTTGCGCCTTTCCTGGAACTCACTTGGTAGTCCAGGCTGGCCTCGAACTCACAGAGATCCGCCTGGCTCTGCCTCCCGAGTGCTGGGATTAAAGGCATGTGCCATCACTACCTGGCTAAGAAGAAAATTTTTTTTTTTTTTTTTTTTTTTTTGGTTTTTCGAGACAGGGTTTCTCTGTGTAGTTTTGTGCCTTTCCTGGAACTCGCTTTGGAGACCAGACTGGCCTTGAACTCACAAAGATCTGCCTGCCTTTGCCTCCCGAGTGCTGGGATTAAAGGCGTGCGCCGCCACCACCCGGCTAATGTCATTTATTTTTATTTATTTTTATTTTTATTTTTTTCGGTTTTTTCGAGACAGGGTTTCTCTGTGTAGCTTTGCGCCTTTCCTGGAACTCACTTGGTAGTCCAGGCTGGCCTCGAACTCACAGAGATCCGCCTGGCTCTGCCTCCCAAGTGCTGGGATTAAAGGCGTGCGCCACCACCGCCCAGCCGTCATTTATTTTTAAAAATAAAACAAGATTGTATTTTTGCTACAGTCAGTTTTAGAACTTCATCAATTCATAAGGACATGCAGTTTTGTTTTGATTACAGTGTATTTGGTGTGTGTGTGTGTGTGTGTGTGTGTGTCCCCGTTTGGATGAATCGGTTGTCTCCTGGGTCCTAGGGATTTAAATCAGATTGTCAGTGGCAGATGCCTTTACCCTTTGTGTTGTCTTGCGAGCCCCAAGGATGCTGAGTTTTTAATCTCTTGAGAAACTGCCGGACTGTTTTCCAGAGTAGCTATTATAATTTAAATTCCTACCTGCTTGAAGGTTTCGGTTTTTGTACATCCTTCCCAAAATCTATTTTCTGAAATCTGAAAGTAGTTTTCATGACTGATGATATTGAACATTTTTGATGTGCTTAGGATTTATATGTAGTACCTTGTGAGCTACACACAGACTTTAAAATTAAAATGTGTATGTACATGTGTCAGGTGATCTCCTGGAGCTGGAGTTACAGGTGCTTGTGAGCCAGCTGATGTTGGTGCGGGGAGCCAGACTTGGATTCTCCGAAAGAGCAGTATGTGTTCATGACCACTGAGCCATCTCTGGTCCCTATACAGAATTTTAAATGTTCTGCATTAGAGAAAGGGATAAACAGCTAAGATGTCATGCTAATTTAATTTTTTTTTTTTTTTTTTGAGACAGGGTTTCTCTGTGTAGTTTGGTGCCTGTCCTGGATCTCGATCTGTAGACCAGGCCGGCCTTGAACTTACAGAAATCCACCTGGCTCTGCCTCCCAAGTGCTGGGATTAAAGGTGTGAGCTACTGCTGCCTGGCTTAGTTTAATTTTTTAAGGTGTGAAGTCTGTTAGTTCTTCTGTTCTCTGAGCATCTATTAGATTTTAAGAAAGAAAATTTTTTCTTTTTTTCTTTTTTTTTTTTTGGTTTTTCGAGACAGGGTTTCTCTGTGTAGCTTTGCGCCTTTCTTGGAACTTACTTGGTAGTCCAGGCTGGCCTCGAACTCACAGAGATCCGCCTGGCTCTGCCTCCCGAGTGCTGGGATTAAAGGCATGTGCCATCACTACCTGGCTAAGAAGAAAATTTTTTTTTTTTTTTTTTTTTTTTTTTTTGGTTTTTCGAGACAGGGTTTCTCTGTGTAGTTTTGTGCCTTTCCTGGAACTCGCTTTGGAGACCAGACTGGCCTTGAACTCACAAAGATCTGCCTGCCTTTGCCTCCCGAGTGCTGGGATTAAAGGCATGCGCCACCACCGCCTGGCTAAGAAGAAAATTTTTATAGGTCACAGTGTCTCAAAACAAAACTAATAAGTCTAAGGGTTTGTTGTTGTTGTTTGTTTTTTGTTTTGGTTTTTTTTTTTTGTGTGTGTGTGTGGTTTTTCGAGACAGGGTTTCTCTGTGTTGTTTTTGGTGCTTGTCTGGATCTCGCTGTGTAGACCATGCTCCCTCGAACTCAGAGATCCTCCTGGCTCTGCCTCCCAAGTGCTGTGATCAAAGGTGTACATTACCACCGCCTGGCCATAAGCTTAACTTTTAAAATAATGCCAAGAAGATACTTAGGCATTGTAAATTAGCTTACTGTATGTCACAATTGAAGTACTTATGGACTCTCTACTTTGAACAGGATGTAATGGCATGTCATACTCTTAGAATATTCAAAGATGACCGTGCCCCTTGTGTCATGGGTCATGGACTTCTGATACAATTTATAAAATATGACATAATTCAAAATCAGGGAATTAAAATTCAGAAAGTAGAGTGAAAACAGTACTAGTATATGTCTTGTACAATGGCAATACCCTGTGTATCATTTTCTTTTTTAATATCATTGATATTTCATTTGCCAGCATTTGTTCTCAAAATGCAAGCTGAATACACTAGCAGTATATTGCTCATATGTAATAAATGTTGTTCCTTTTATCTCCTAGGAATTTATCAAATGTGGAAGAAATTGGGACTTGCTCTTATATTAATCATGTCATTACCATGACAACACTGTATATTCAGCAAGTAGGTGTGAATACATTCCTTTTTGTTGCTTTATTGAGACTAACTAGGTTTTACTATTTTTTAAAAATTTTTTTTTTAATGTTGTAATTGACTTTGCTAAATGTTTTCAAAGGAGATAGTAATTGAAAAGACAATTAAAATTAGTAGTGGGTGACAGATCATTTTATAAACCTTATATTTTCCTTTTTTTAAACAAAATGATTTATTTTTATTTCATGTACATTGATTTACCTGTATGAGGGTGTTAATTCCTTTGGAACTGGAGTTACAGACAATTGTGAGCTGCCATGTGGGTGCGGGGAATGCTCTTAACCACTGGGCCAGCTCTCCAGCCCCAAGTCCTATATTTTCTAAAAGTAAGCAAGTAGCTATTTGCTATTTTAATGTAAAAAATTTTTATAGTTTAAAGAATGACTTAATGTTTTATTTTATGTATGAATTTATCATAAATCTTACATGATTTCCAAAGATGTTTGACTATTTTAAATGTATTCCAGGAAGAATTTAACATCTGAGAGAATGTATCTAGTCTATATGATTAACTGACTCTTAGGGAATCAAAGGGGAAGTTAGACTTTTGTAAATAAAAATGACTTATTGAAAGCTGATAAATAAAGCATGTCCTTAACTTTTTTAAAATTTTATTCTCAGTTAAAAAGCAAAAAAAAGGAGAAGGAAATGGCTGATCAGACATCTGTTGAAGAATTTGTGATCCATGCATTGGCATTCTGTGAAAGTTTATATGATCCGTATAGGAATTGGAGACATAGGATTTCAGGGTATGTCTTATAAATGATGCTGTTGAGATTGAGTCTAACTGTGTAGCTTGTCTGGCTTGGAACTTCTTACATAGACAAGGCTGGAGAGAGCAACCTGCGCTGGAGTGCTGAGATCAAAGGCGTGCACTACCAATCTGGCCTCGGTAAAGCCTGAGTGTTGTTGGCCTGATGAGGTGGCTCAGTGGGTTTAGTGAGCCACGTATGCTCGAGGACCTGAGTTCAGATCCCTAGAACTCATGGAAAAGCTTGATGTGAGAGTATAAGTGTCTGCAATCATGGTGTTCTTGTGAAGAAATGGGAAGTGGAGACAGGAAATATCTGGAGGGTCGCAGGCAGGCTAACCTGGCACATGTAGTAGAAAACCAACAGAGCCCTCGAACAAAACGGAAAAGACCAAGATTGATGCCTGAGGTTTTCCTTTGATCTTCATGCACACACTGTGCGCCTCCATTCACACATGCTTGCACAACCCGTTATACACACGTGATAAGTTAACAGAACAAAACCTTGAAAGCCGTGAATTTGTGGGTCTTTATAGAGTGTCTTCTGTATGTGAATCTTAAAAGAGTATCTTTCTATATAAAGCAGTCTGGAAAGATGCATAGAAGATCCACATGTGGAAGATTGAGGAGATGACTCGGTTAGTAAAATGCCTGGTATGCAAGCTAAGAGCTTTAGTTTGGTCTCCAGAATCCACAGAAAAGGCTGGGGTCAGCACTGGGCTGTTAGAGACAGGCTAACCCTGGAGCTTGATAACCAGTGTAGCTTACTCTGTGTCTTCTCAGCTCCTCTCCACCCTGTTTTATGTCTTTTTTGAGGCAGAGTCTCACTTTGTATCCTTGGCTGGTTTGGAGCTGCTTTGTAGACATTGAACTCACAGAGATCTGCCTGTCTGTGCCTGTCAAGGGCCACCTTAGTTTTTGAGACAGGCTCTGACTTTCTGACCAGCAAGCTCCAGGGATCTTCATGTGTCCTCCTCTTCAGTGCTGGGGTTGCAGGCACAGTGTGCCATTTTATTTGTGTGTATGAATCTGGGTGCACATGTGGATGTCATAAGACAACTTGTTTCTCTCCACCATGTGGGTTCTGAGGATTGAATTTAGGTTGTCAGGCTGATGACAAGTCCATTATCTGCTTAGCCATCTCCTCAGCTGATTGGCTGCCTTCTTTATCTGGGTGCTGGGGATTGGACCCAGGTCCTCCTACTTGGCCAGCAAATGCATTCTCAACTGAGCCATCTCCCCAGCCCCTGTACTTGCACTTTGAATAGCTACCATTAGGTAATGGTAGCAGAACATTTGTATAGACGATGTAACAGTTCACTTCATGTATTCTATAGGATATATTTTATTGACATAGAATATATCCTGGCACTTGAGAAGGTAGAAGCAGGAGGATCAGAAGTTCCAGGTTATTCTCAGCTACATAGTGAATTTGAGGCCAGCCTGGGCTATATTATTAGATCCTGTCCCAAAACCACTATTTATTTTAAAGTATATGGGCATGAGACTGGTGTAGTTGATTCATTACCAATTTGAATGAAAATTTCTACTGCAGTGTATGTTTGTGTTCTAATGCTAAAAATGTATGACTCAATTTGTGAGCAAACAGCTGATCCTGTATAGGCCCCAATATATCAAGTACTGGAAAAATGTTTCCAATTTCCACACATGCTCTCATGTCAAATATTATTTCTATGAAAATTTGTATGAAATTGTCAATGAAGTACAAAAAGGAAAAAAAAACCCTGTGTGTGTATGTGTGTGTGTATTCCTGATAGGATTGGGAAAGATGTACAAAGGATACAAAATCTCAGGGGGATAAATTCAAGAGATTGGCTGACAACTACAGCTGTGGTTACTATATAACTATTAACAGTGTATTGTTGAGAATGGCTAAGAGAGTAATATGAGGCAATTTATGAATGTTAGTTTGACTTATTCTGCTACACACACACACACACACACACACACACACACACACACACACACACACACATTTCTAAAGGTCGTATTCCAAACCATAAATGTGTATGTAATCCTCTTTAAAATTCATCCTTAAGAAAAAGCCAGCCTCTATACCGAGATATAAACTAGAGAAAGAATAGCAGCATTGTTTCAGTTATGTGTCTCTGCCTTGAGAAAGTATCTGACACAGGGAAGTAGAGAAGGAGGGTATCAGACTCACAGTGTGAGGGTGTAGTTCATCAGGCAGGGAAACATGGTGGCAGGAGCTTGAGGCAGGTAGTCCCATTGTGTCTGCGGCATGAAGCAGAGTTTGGAGATGCCAGTGCTCAGCTTGCTCTCCCACTTTGAGTCAGTCTGGTAGTTGGGGGCGGAGGCTTCCTTCTCAACCTGTCTAGAACATTCCCCACTGGCATGCCCAGAGATGGGTCTTCAAGGTAATTTTATATCTCGTCAAGTTCACAGTCACCATAAATCTTCAACAGTGTGTACTCCAGTTATTTAATAGGAGAGTTTTGTCCTCATACTTTGTATTACGTTTAAAAAGTTTTATGTGTGTGGGTTGTGCTTACATGGATGTCTGTTTACTCCATGCATGCAGTATTTATGGAGGCCAGAGAGGGCATTGGATCCCTTGGAACTGGAGTTCTAGATCATCATTGTGAGCCCCTCTTGTGTGCTGGGAATCACCCCAGTCCTCTGGAAGAGCACCAGGCATTTGTAACTGCTGAGTCCTCACTCGCCCTTCTTCCCCTCTTTTTTTGTTTGTTTGTTTGGTTTGGTTTTGGAGGCAGGGTTTCTCTGTGTAGTTTTGGAGCCTGTCCTGATCTCAGTCTGTAGACCAGGCTGGCCTCGAACTCACAGAGTTCCTCCTGGTCTGCCTCCTGAGTGCTGGGATTAAAGGCATGTGCCACCGCCACCTGGCCCTTCTTCCTTTATTTACTTTATATTTTGAATAAGGTAAAGTTCTCCAGAGAAACAGAATTAATAGGACGTATAAAATATATGCCTGTAGGAATTTTTGTTTTTAGTAAAAGGCGAAAGATTTATACGATCTGAAGAGAAACCAGAGTGTGTGTGTGTGTGTGTGTGTGTGTAAATAAATATATATATGCCTATAGGAATTTGACTTTTTTTTTTAAATCAAATTTTTTTAAAAAAGCTAGCAAGCCCTTTTGGGGGCTGGAGAGATGGCTCAGAGGTTAAGAGCACTGACTGCTCTTCCAGAGGTCCTGAGTTCAATTCCCAGCACCCACATGGTGGCTCACAACCATCTATAATGGGATCTGGTGCCCTCTTCTGGTGTGCATGTGTACATGCAGGCAGAATACTGTATATATAATAAATAAATAAATCTTAAAATAAATAAATAAATAAATACGGGAAAAAAAAGAAAACCTTTCCTGGTTTACTTTTCACCAGTCTGTCTGGCATGCTTCTAGTAATATGAAAATCACTTGGGCCATTGAAGGCCCATGTGTTAACTCTATACTCTGTAGTAGTTTCTGCATGCTGAGCCCAATCAGTATTACTGCTATTGTCGTGATGGGCACAGTTTTGGCCAACATGCATGTTATTCTATTTTAGATTTCCTCAAAGCTGGGCAGTTGGTGAGGATAACTAATTTTTCTTGGTCCTGTCATTTTCAGAATCTACCCATATAGTGGCATGTATTTTCCACTTTTCATAACAAATTGGAGTCTAGAGTTAATTGACTCCAGAGACTTATTCATCTTTGGGGCTACCATCTTCTGCCTTAAGTGTGGGACATACAGCCCCCCTAACCAAGTATAGCTGCCAAAATGGCCAGGGAGCAAGAAAGTAATGAATTTTCAAAAAAAATTGGCTCACATAATAGGAAAACTGGCAAGTCCAAGTCTGATGCGTGAGTGAGCAGGCTCTGAGTTAACATTGATACAGCTTGAAGAGTGACAGACAGGTAGACGCTTAGGAAAGCCAAAGCTGCAGATGAAATCCCAAGACTGTCCACTAGAGAATTTTCTGGTGCTCAGAGGGTTAATCGTTGTCTTCTGTTCAGATTGTCAGCTGATTCAGTGAGAGCTGCTCATCTCACGGAAGAAAATATATTTTACTCAGAGTTCACAAATTTACCAAATAATCTCATCTAAAAACATCATCCAGGTTAGAAATTAATCACATTATGCCAAGACATTTTGGCTAAGTAGCAGGGGGAAGGATCTAAGGACTTCCTATGTTCTTCTATTGAACTTTAATATGTCTGTTTTTCTAGGAGTAATCTCTTTGAATTTTCCTTCTGTAAAGATTTTTGTGTCTCTCAGTATAGGCTAAATTATGCTGTAGTATCAAAGAAGGCCCTTAGAATATGAACAGTGTATTTTTTGTTCATGCCGTCTGTCCTTTTTTTTGGTTTTGTTTTTTGAGACAGAATTTCTCTGTGTATTCTTGACTGTCATGAAACTCACTTTTTTAGACCAGGCTAGCCTCAAATTCACAAAGATCTGCTGCCTGCCTCTACCTCCCAAGTGCTGGAATTAAAGGTGTGCAGCACCACTGTCCAGCTGTCTTATTTTTAAGGAAAAAAAAAGATTTAAAAGATATATTTGCCATGTGTATATATGTATGCCCTCAGGAACAAGAGGCTTTGGATCCCTGGGTCTGTGGTCACATGTGACTGAGTCTCCTGACATGGGCTATTAGGCACATTCAGCTCTGCCACATGAGTAGAGGATTGTGGAAATAGTAGTAATTTGGCAAGCAACCGTGACTGCTTCTTGCTTTTGTACAAGTCTCTCAAGACTCTTTTAAGTATGCACAGGGACATATAACACTTCTTCAATTGCAGGCTTTATAGTAATTTATCATTTTAGTTCCAATGACTCAGTTTTCCTCTACCTTGATTTGTATGCTAGAGAGTTCACAAAGAAAATAGTATCTCTTTTCCCCACTTTTTACATTCGGCAATGAAATCTAAGGAAGTCTATTAAGTTTTGAAACAGTGACATTGATTTTTTTCTTTATAGGCACCAAAGCAGATAAAGCAAGAACTGTCAGTCTGAATATGAGAGAGGCTTTTAAAAGAAATCCTTAAAATCAGAGCAAAAAGAATTTAAGCATGATAAAAGGAGACAAGATGTGTATAAAGGTAGCTCTGATAAAAAACTAAAACAAGGGCTGGAGAGATGGCTCAGGGGTTAAGATCATTGGCTGCTCTTCCAGAGGACCTGAGTTCAATTCCCAGCACCCACATGGTGGCTCACAACCATCTGCAATGAGATCTGGTGCCCTCCTCTGGTCTGCAGGCATATATGCAGGCAGAACGTTCTATACATAATAAATAAATAAACAAACCTTTAAAAATGCTTAAAAAAAAAGCTTTAAAAAAAAACCCTAAAACAAACTACGTGAAGCAGTTGTTAGAAACAAACAATTTTTGAAATCTTTCTTTTTGAGACAGGTTTCTCTGTTAGCCCTGGCTGTCCTGGAACTCACTCTGTAGATCAGGCTGGCCTGGAACTCAGGGATCCACCTGCTTCTGCCTCTCGGGTGCTGGGATTCAAGGCCTGTGCCACCACTGCTTGGCCAGTTTTTGAAATCTGGAACAAAGGGAATTTTAAAAAGCATAATGTCATGTAGCACGTGATGGAAGTTGTGCACATGTAAGGTGGCCACACAGAGAAGAAAAGCAGACATTTGTGACAGAAGTGTATATGGTGTTTCATCAGGAATTAGGCTTGAAGCTGTCTTTGCAGTCTCTCTAATATGCCAATTCTTTAGTAATAGAGCTGCCTCGGTGGCAAGTGGCAAAGGAAGGGATTCAGACTTCAGTGTCTTTGACTTTGATAGAGATATTCAGGCACAGACTTACAAGAAAAAACATTATGGAGGACCTATGCAGAGGACTCAGTAGCTTACATTTTTTCTTTAAACTGGTTGTGAAATGAAATGGAGGTTTATAGTCAGTATATCACTTACCGAAGAGTCAGGAGAACAAATGTGAGTTAAAGTAGCACAGTTATGCATTCTGGAGTTTTTACTTGATGTAAGGGATAGTTTTCCTATTTCACGGAAATTGATTTTATTAATCTGCTAGCTTTATTTTGATTATACTTGGAGAATCTTAAATAGTAACTCAGTGGAACTAAAGTATAAGAATAAAACAAAACAAACAAACCAAGAGCAACAAGAGCAACAATAAAACCTCCCCTTGCTCAGTGGTAAAATGCTTTGCCTGCTGTTCCCTAGAGACCAGATTCCATCCTAGCACCAGGTTGGGGGAGGGGGCATACAAATGCTTGTTTGTTTATTCAGTTGTTTATTCAAGTGTTTATTAGTTCATTCTACTGTAACTTTACTAGGTATTGTTACATTTAATAGGTATAGTTAATAGGTATAGTTACATTTCTACTGTAAGTTTATAGGTATAATTGCCTGTCCATGGAGAAAAAAAAATTGTTTAGTTGTGCCCTAGGCTCTATTTGCCAAATGTGACAATATATGCACAAAAATAATCACAGAAAAGAATAGTAAACTCTCAAGAAAAAAAAGAATTTATGAGTTCATACTCGTGCTAAGTAGCTAAGTAAAGAAAAAATTAAATTTCTTATTAGTAGTAGATTATGAAGTTTCAATTAATAAATACAGAGAAGATGTATTGGAGTTGAAAGAAAATCAGCATTTTGATTTATGTACCGTAGTAAAGATTGTATTAGTCACAGATCATTAATGGATGATAAGTCTAGTGGAAAGTTCTGATTAGTAGTATAATAATATGTAAATATTTTAAAATGCCTTTCTAAAAATTACTTATTGTAAATGAAAAATTAATAATGTATACTGGACAGTATTGCTCACTATAATAAAGCTGACTGGGTAACCAAAATTAACATCGGTGAGAACATCACACATGATACCTTGAGAAAGACATCATTGTTTCTGTGGTAGTTAGTAGTTCAGCTGTGAATACATAGTCCAAACCTAATTTTGAGAAAGCACCAAGCAAAATCAAAAATAAGAACTTTCTATTAGTAGGGGAAAGACTAGTGTACACCTGTAGCCTATAGATATACAGAATTTCTGGGTAGTTTCAGATATTTTCCACTTACATTGTTTTTAATAATATTAAATATACTTTTCAGGGCATGGTAAAAATGCCTAATGTTTATTGTAATTATAGTTCTTAATTTTCACCATTCCACTATTTGAAAGTATTATTGATTTTAATAGGCTTTATTCTCCAATATCTTTATCCCCGTGGCTGTCTAAGCAATTTTATTTTGTGTTGAACTGAAATCACTAAAATATTCTTATTAAAAGCCTGTATACTTTGTATTGGCCTTGTTAAAGTTTATAGAAAATATCTGTGAAAACTCCTGGAATTTTCATTAAAAGATAATCTCATTCCTATACTCGATCTGCATCCTTAAAATGAGGGAACTTAAAGGTCTGGACCATTGTATGTGAATAAAACCTCAGCGAGGCGCAGGCCAGTCGCTAGCTCTGGTGGTTTCCGAGTAATTCTGTCCTAGTCTCAGCTGTCACCTCCCCAGGACTGCCATGCAAACGCTTCTGCAGACTGGAAATTTAAATGCTGGCTTCTTTTTATCCCCAGTTATTTGGACTTAACTTGGCTATCACAATGCATAGGAGAAAGTGTTCTCTAGTTGGTAAGCACTTAGGTTGTTTCAACACCCTTTGAACATTGTACCTGTCCTGAAGTTGTTTTGTTCAGTGTACAAACCAAAATCAGAATGTTAAATTTGTTTTAAAATTGTCTTTTCAATTGTGCCTCCTCTACTTGCTCATGCTGTAATTTGTTCCTGACTTCTTTTTTTAATGCTAGACGAATCCTGAGTTCTGTGGAAAAGAGCAGACAGAAATACAAACCGGCTTCTCTCACAGTGGAGTTTGTTCCTTTCTTTTATCGTAAGTAACAGTTTAATTCACTTGACTTTGATTTGATCAACTCTGACCACTGTCTTTTTTCTTACTCTGATTCTGACCTGAATTTAGTTTGTGAGTTTGTAAGATTTGTGCTAAGGAACAAAACCACTGGGTTAGTTAATTTGTATTTGGTTGTGCTTATATTTCTTGGTTTGATTAATTTTTTAATCAATCTTTTAATCTCCATGATTTTCTTTTTAAGAAGAGCTGATCTGTTGTTTTGGTGAGCTGAGCATTTTAATGATTGCATATTTTAGAACTTTATAATTTTTGCTAAAAACAGAAATCTTGAGACATATCAGAGAGCATGTGTTTAGCATGCACCAAACCTTCTGTTTGATCCTTAGAACCAGAAAGCAAACCAGTTTGCAGTCAACCCATTAAGCGATGTGACTGCTCTATGTGTGCATGGCTGTGTATGTGTCCTGATTTCTCCCTCACTGTTGGTTTTATATGGAGGCAGGGTTTCATGCCTCTTAGCCTGACCTCAAACTTGCTGTAGCTGAAGATGACTTGATCTCATCCTGAGTGCTGGCATTATAGGCACATGCCACCATACAGTGCTAGTTTTCACTCTTATAAAAATGATTGTGCTGGGGGCTGGATAGATGGCACAGTAGTTAAGAGTGCTCGCTGGTTTTGTTGAGAACCATATAGTGCTCTTAACTGCCTGTAATTCCTGTTCCTTTTCTGGCCTCCCTGGGCTCTGTGGATACATGGTGCACATACATACATGTAGGTAAACATATACCCAAGATAAAGATGACTAAATCTGGAAATAAAAAGATTGTGCTGGGGTAGGAATATAGTTCAGTTGGTAGGATACTTACCTATCATGCACTAGGTTTAATTCATAACTGTATGAGTGGGGATGGTGGCACATACCTGTAGTGTAAACACTTGAGAGGTAGAGGCAGGAGGATCAGGTCATCCTTGGCTACATAGCAAGTTTGAAGCCTACCTGGGATACACAGGACCTTGTCTTTTTTTTTTTTTTTTTTCTTTTTCTTCTTTTTTTCCAGAGCTGAGGACCGAACCCAGGGCCTTGTGCTTACTAGGCAAGCGCTCTACCACTGAGCTAAATCCCCAACCCCAGGACCTTGTTTTAAAAAAAGAAAAGTAGTGCCATCTTTCAAGAATACAGAAAAAATTACAAAATAAAAAAGGAGCACTTTGTTTCTTGAGTATATTGCTTATTGGAACATGTACAATCTTAACATTTGCCACATTTGCTTCAGTGCTTTCTGCCCCCAGTGCAGTAAAGTCAGACAGAAATAGCCTTGTTTGCCGAGCGAAGGAAGACAGCTGTAGTACATACCCTGTATGTACTATACTATATAGTGGTTGACTTTACCCTAGAGAAATGCACGTACTCACAATGAGCTGTGCTTGGAACTGGCCTTACTTTAAAGATAAGGAACAGGAAACCCACAAGCCAGTATAATAGTATGGTGTTTCTGTTCAGCTGAAGTCTTTCATAGAAAATTATGAGACCAGAATGGAATGAGATCCATCCAGGTTTAGAAATACAGTGTCCTATAGAAGTCTTAGATCTTTGCATGTGTAAATTGTGCATGTATTTTGTTAATTGATCTCAAAGTACTTTGTTTCTTTCTTGTAAATGATTTTTGGTTGTATTGTCTATTGTTACTAGTATATAGAAACAGTTTTTATATCTTGATCTTACATTCTATGACCTTGCTAAATAAATTCACATCTAAGTTGTAACACTTATGGTGTTCCTTAGGGTTTTATATGTTGTGTCTACAAAACATACGTTCTCCCTTTTCCTGATGTCCACATGTTAATTAAACTTAGCTTTCAGGACCTACACATTACAAGTCTGTAGGATTTTTGAAAAATTATTTATTTTTATTTTATGTGCGTTAGTGTTTTGCCTTCATGTATGTCTGTGTAAGGGTGTCACATCCCCTAGAACTGGAGTTACAGACAGTTGTGAGCTGCCATGTGTGTGCTGGGAATTGAACCCAGATCCTCTGGAAAAGCAGTCAGTACTCTTAACTGCTGAGCCATCTCTCCAGCCCCCTGTAGAATTGTTGTTGTTGTTGTTGTTGTTATATCTTGTGTAGTTTTAAAAACTGTATTTGTGTGTGCACACGCATGCACTCATGCCATTGTGCCTGTGTGGAGGTCATAGAACAGTTTGCAGGTGTTGGTTCTCTCTCCACCATTTCCTTGGGGATTGAACTCAGACAGTCAGGCTTGGCAGCAAGTGCCTTTGTGTACTGAGCCATCTTGCCAGCCCCTTTGCGTAGTTTTGAATCAGTCATTGTTCTGGTATGCTTTGGTTGCTGTAACAGAATGCTTGAGACTGACTTAAACACACAAGTTTGTTTTCTCATAGTTTTGGAGGCTTGACATTGTAAGATCCACATCCTAGCAGGGTTTGGCTTTGGGTGAGGTCTTTTTGTGGCCTGCTGGCCGTCTCCTTTTTGTATTCTCAGATGTTAGAGAGACTGATACCTCTTCAGAACATCAGTTTTGTTGTGTCAGGCATTTTCCCTTTCTGATCCTACCTAACTTTAATCAACTCTTCAAAAGCCGTGCCTCCAGTATAGTCATGTGGATGTGTGAGTTAAGGCATCAATATTTGAGTTTGGGAGGGATAGTTAAGTCTGTACTATTCCTGTACCATCCCTGCCCCACCCCCCAAGTTAATGTGTTTATCACATGCAAAATATGTTCATTCTATCCTGGTAATCCAAATGTCTTAACACATTCCAGTATTGGCTCTCAACAGTCTAGAATCTAAAATCTCCCCTAAATGTTAATGTGAGCAAAACTCGGGTGCATTCACAGTGAGTCAAGTTCCCTCTTCAGCGGTGAGCCTGTGATAGGTACTTCCAAAATACAGTGAGATGTAGTCTCATTCTGAAAGGGAGAAATTGGAAGCTATCATAAAATCTGGGAAGATGACAAATTCCATTACTTAAGGATTGAAAATAACCTTTGATTTAGTACTTTGCACTTCCATTAGGGAACTAGTGCTATGCCTTCTAGCTCTATAAGACATTCAGTTTATTTGGTTATTTATAATTATTGTATGTATCGTGTATGACACGTGTGGGCATGAATGCTGCGGTGTGCATGTGGAGGTCAGAGACCAACTTTGTGGAGTTAGTTCTTCCCTTCTACTTTTGCGTAGGTCTCGGGATAGGACTCGGGTCACCAGTTTGGCACGGCAGGAGCCTTTACTGGCTCAGTGGTCTTGTGGCCTTTAAAATTTTTTTTTTCTGTATAGGGATTTGCACTTTCTGCTTTCTCCGAGTCACCACGCATGTGCTTGTCTTTGTGAGCACAGTCCTGCCCCTGAGGCTCTGAGTAGCTCGTCCTGACCCACTGAAACTGTGGTGTGATCCTTAAAATTGAAGATACACTACAGTTTACCTTCATTCCTTCCAGTTTCTCTGTTCTCTTCAGTTGAAAATGGTAATGTCTTTACTGGTATAATTCTGTCCTTCCTTCTGACCTGAGCTAAAATGGCTAATGAAGTTAGTAAGTCCTGTTGTCACTGGAATCTTGGCCTGGATTCCTTGTCTTGACAGTTCTTGTGATCTCCATCAAGAAAGGTAAGACACAGTGTAGTGTAGAAGAGATGGAGAGTTTAGTGCGGAGTGGGTAATGGCCGAAGAGGCCTGCTGGGTCAGTCTGCATTTTAGGAAGGCTGTATACTGGTTTCCGAATTCGAAAACAAGTAGATTTTCATGGGGGACTTCGAAGTGGCTGATAGGCTCGCTTAGATTGTTTCTTCTAGGAGGGAACAATGGTATGTCCTTATTCTTTATCAGGAATCTCTCCTTCTGCATAAAAGTCTTTAAAAGTTTAGAGCTTTTGGAGTCTTTAGTTATCTATTAATGTTCCTTTAGGCACCCCAGGATGCCCCTCGGGCCAGAGATAAGAATCAGATCACGTTCTTCTTACCTGTAGTTAAAAGTCCTGCTGTTCTAGACCTTTGTTTAATTGGTTTCTAACCTCAGTGTCCTCTAATTGTCTGCCAATGCCTAATTAGCCAACAATCCCTCCCTCTATACCCACACCAGGAGTTGAGGCCCTAAGATCATCTAGGGGAGTAACATTGGGCTAATCCATCTGGTTGTGGCTGAAATGGGATGTAGAAGGGTTTAAGGTCTCTACTCTTAGTGACTTTCAGGCCTCAGAGGACAAGGGGATCCAGAAAGGAATTAAGACTGCTGCAGGACTATCTGAGGGTGGGTTGAGCGAAAAGAAGAGGAGAAAAAAATTAAGACAGCAGTAAACACACACGTTTCAAACACTTAATCAAAGTACTGTTATGATTATAGTAGGTGTGACTCATTTTCTACTTGAAAGATCTAGAGATCCACTTCCAAAAGTATTCACTGAATGAAGAAAAATGAGAAGGAAGGACATGACTGCTTCTAGGGTAGGTGAGAGAGAAGGTTTATTGCAGATAAAAGGGAGAGCATAGTCAGAGGCATCTGGAAGGTCCAGAGTGAACAAAACTGAGCTGTAGGGAGAGAGGGGAAGGGACAGGGAGAGCTAGGAGAGTAAAGGGTAGACAGAGGAGGACCAGACTAGCCAGAATGGTTGGATTGTATGGGAGGAGCATCTGGGGGAGGGCAGCCCAGCCAGGGAAGTTTAGGGTAGGCTGGGGAAGTTTAGGGTAGGAGGCAGGGTATGCCCGTCCTTGAAACAAGTAGGACTGAGGGATGGTGGGAGAACCTGGTGGCCAGGTTTGCCTTAGTATGTTAAACAGGCACCTCAGCCAGTTGTCCTTGGTTTGAGACTTTACCTTTACCACAAGGGGTGATAGTGTCCAACATAGGTTGAGCCTGCTTTGTTTTTTACTAAAAAGGATTCTTTTAAAAAATTTATTTTTGTTTTATGTGCATTAGTGTTTTGCCATGGGCATCAGGTCTCCTGGAACAGGAGTTACAGACAGTTGTGAGCTGCCATGTGGGTGCTGGGAATTGAACCCGTGT